TTCCTACATGCTTTAAGTTTGACAAACACAACCAGTGAAAGTGTTTTAGATGACATGAAGTACCATAATAACTTTTTTGCTGCTATGTTCAGTTTAAACATCTGTTTTCGGCACTAAGTAGTTTGCAGATATGTTTAATATCAATAACAATGACTTGTTATTTTGATAGAAGTAACCAATGCAAATGAGTAATAATATATATAGAAGACAGAGTTGACAGAAAATAATGTTTTCTCATATTTTAAGTCTTTTAAGACTGTTGTACAGGCACCAGTCTGAAATCCAGCCCTGCTGACTTTGATTACCTAATTCCTCAGAGATCACTCTTAAACTCTTGCCGCCAGGGGCGTTGACATGATGTGGGGAAATGTCACCAGCTGTCACGAAACCTACTGCCCCAATCAATCAATCAGCATGCTTGTACCTCTCTGTGTGTGTTTGAGCATGGGGCTCACCCATTTGCTCTGCTGGGCATGTGAGAAAAAGAGGCAGAGAGACCCTAAATGCACCATAATCCACATTCCTTAATGACTATACCCAGGAAGGTTGTGCCTGTCAGGAGGAGCAGATAGTGTCTCTGCATCTGTCTGTGTGTGTGTGTGTGTGTGTGTGTGTGTGTGTGTGTACGTAACCTGTAATATACTGTATGTGTGTGTGGATACGACAGGATGAGGGTGTTTGTATGTTTGTGAGAGACAGACAAAGGAAATGACAGAGACAGAGATAGAAATGTATGAGACAGAGATGTACAGATGTGTGAGGGAGATACATACAAGTGTGTTACATGAGGAGAAGCAGTGGGAGAGAGCTGGTGTGCTCGGCTGTTTCACTGCGCTCGGTGATGGCTGCAGGATAACTAATCAATCTATACCTGCCTCTGAGATAGAGAGAGAGGAACAGTCAGACAAGATTAGTGGCTCCTCTGCAGACCCTGTTACTCCGTGTCCTCCTTTCAAAACTGCACATCCCCACAGAATTACATAAAACAACTTTCCAATGGTTATGCCTGAACACATTTGACTTAATTTGACTGAAATAGGAATAAACCATGACTATGTTTATTATTGATGCCTTTGGGGAATTTCTGCAAATTAAAACCTTTTGTCATGATTGTAGAAAGCAGCTCTTTTTCACTACATATATTCCAAATTACTTAAATTCCCTGAAGGTGCACAAAATATTGTCCAAACAAATTAACAGTTAATGTAGCTTGTTGAATCACCTCATTGAGGTTTATTCCAAACAAAAAAAAACAATACACTGCCTTTATGCTACTTTTTTATTTTATTTTAGGGGAACAAAATCAGAGATGAACTCAAACAAAACAGCCCTAGTATCTGATTTTCTTCCCACAAACTTTTACAACTTTGTAAATCTACTTTCCACCCAAATGTTGCTTGTGCAAATCTCGCTGCTTCCTTCAGTAGGGAGATGTTTTTCTCCTCCCTCCTGCTCTTAACTGTGTACCAGCGGTTCTAGAGGCTGTCATATTGCATCAGCGCTCTGCTGATTACTTCCACCTTGTCTCCCTCGTCAGGAAATGATTCTGACACGCACTCACACCCTGCTTTCCCTGCATCAATATGCGTGCGATGGAAAAACTGCAGACAGTAAATAAATAATGAAAGACAAGGTAGGGAGTGAGGAGGGAGAGAGAGGGTGGATAAGGGGGCTCCAGATACCATTCTCTCTCGGTCTCATTCCCTCTCCTCTGTGTGTGCATGAGTGACTCACTGTGGGAAAGTGTGATGTGCACTGTGTAAGGATTTTAAGTATTTGCAAGTATAAAGCTACCTCACAATCTGAGATGGAAAAGAGAAATTGGAATTTGATATGCAAAAAATGTTACTTATTTAAGGGGTCAATAAAACAATGTGAGACAGTTTTCAAGCAGGATTCATCTTGAAATTCCTAAGTCACATATCATTTCACTTTGTTTTGATTAAAGCGAATGCCTCTGCCATTCAGTATTCCTTCAGCATTGTGCTAATGTTCCAATACTGGTAATTTTCCTTAGTGCTTCCTCATGGGAAGCTATTTGGATTATTCATTTGCTCACTGCCAAGAAATATGTCAGTAGAGTGAGGGCATGTTCTCAGTCAAAATCCCTAAAGGGATTATCACATAGACTGTGCATTTCTGTGGAGGACATAAGCACATTGGCCCGCTAACTCCTTGCACCTAGTGGCATGACTGGCATCAGAGGGACCTGTACTCATCTTAATTTGAGTGACAGCTGGTGCTCAGCTTTTCTTCGGTTTGCAGAAAGGATTGTCAGATGTCAGAGGTCATTACAAGTGCAAAGAAAGAGACATAGCTGTTCTGGGTGTTTAACTTTAATGCACTCTGCCAACACAAACTTCTTGATCAGTGTTTCTGGCTCATGGTTAAGTGCTAAACTGATAACCTGTTAGTGTACATGATAAAAGATGATATGTTGATAATGTTACTGGTTATACACTTACAGTTATACAGGTAGCAGTTAGTCAGGTGCCCCGAGTCAGTCTAATCCAATGGTCCTGTAATAAATCCTCCTTTATGAATGTGATGATGTTCAGTTTGTTGAAATTGTTTTGGAGATGTGTTGATTCAACCTTATGATCATTTTGGAGGTTTTTGCTGTTGTTGAACTTCATTTCGTACAGCGAGGGGTTTCTGTTATTTAGCCTAGCTTCGCTGAGTTACATAGGATGCACAAAAAGACATTATAACAAAACAGTTTAATAGCAGCACATACTACATCCTCCAAAAAGATCAATGCCTCTCTAAAACAGTTTGAACACAAATGGAACATTATCACCTTCATAACGGAGGATTTATTACAGGACTATTGGATTAGATTGCATTGGTTTTAGCTTGGTGTACTTAATATACTGCTAAGCGAGTGTATTGTGTGTCATGTTACATGTGAAGCTCAGAGACGTATCCAAAGGTTTTGCACTCTGTCCCCAGTTTTCCTTGTGTAATATCCATATTTAGATTCAGTTCCCATATTTATCTTTAGGTTCAAAGTATTCAACAAGGAAAAAGATTGTCTATGGCAGCTCAGAGGGACACAATATCAACCCACTATAAACTGTTATTACAGTGGATACTTTTCAAAAGGACAAAATACTTTTGTAATAGACATACGATATTGGAAACGTTAGATACTTGATTCTGACTCCAAGTCAAAGACTTCAGACTTGACTCAGACTTACATTTTGTGACTCATGAATACCTCTGCTGCTAATGTGCTCCTGCTCCCTCTTTCTCTTTCTCTCCCTGTCTACAGCAGGAAACTGAACATTACCACTGAGGGCCCGAGGACTATAAATCACAGTTCCAGAGAACCGAGTGGGAGGTTGCAGGGAAGGATTAGAGAGAGCTGTTGGTGATGTTATTTAGTCTTACCGGCCAGGGAGTGAGCGAGCCAGCACACCCTTGATGCGTATTTACCCCTTTTCGACCAACACGAACTAAGTGCTAGTTCTGAACTGGTGCTAGAACCAGTTGGGGGATGGTTCAATTTGCAAACTTTCTAAAAACCAGCTTGCTTCTCCACTGGCTATAGAGTCACTGCAGAGCCAGGGAATTACATAACTGTATACATCTGAATATGCCTCTGCTTCCCAGCAATGCTAGCGCCAAGCACAATAACAACAGTGGTGGACTTCAGTATCTCTTTTGTAATGTTGCTCCTGGCTTTGCGAGTGAATATTGGAATCTAAATACTACTGGTTCCACGCATTTGAGCTGCTTGTCATGATATCTATGGTAATTGCATAACACGTTTTGATTCATATTAACACTGAACTTAAGATGTTAACCTTTGTTAGCCTAGCCCTTAGCTAACTAACAGGTTGTCTCCTCTGCAGTCCACTGCTGCTTCGATTTCACGTCAGCAAAGCGCATGTTTTGGGTTTAAAAAGTTAGGCAAGACAATACTAATCTGTGGTTATGTTTTTTAAAAATGGTGGTCACAAAGTTTTAGTTGGTCTTTGGTCACAATAATCCCGCCCCCAGCTCCTGATGTAAGTGATTCTTTGTTCTAGACCAGCAGAGAGTTGGTGCCAAGTTAGAACTGGTTTTCCTGGCTCAGAGACAGTCCTTGGGGTGTTGAAACACAAAGAACTGGTTCAAACTTAGGCACTGGATCTGAACCAGCCTTTGAACAGCCTTAGTCATAAAGGATTAATTATCCACCTCTGATGACCAGTGAAAGGGACTGGGTGATGCCATATCGCCGCCCACGCTGCCCCTGCAGAGCACTTCAAGCCGGCTTCCTGGCTGGCCCTAACCAGTCAGCAGCTCCATTTGGTTGATGGCAAGCATGCTCAGTCAGGGAAAAACACTCGGTCCTGGATGATTTTGCCCTTCTCTGCTCATTCTCCTCAGCAGTGACACCCCTCCCCACCTCAGCTACCACCCAAATGCGCCACTGTCCTCCCTTTCCCTGCTCCTGCTGTCCTCTCTTCCCATAACTACAGGCGCCCACCCCCTGCCTCTGAAACCCAAACACCCAGCAATCGCTCAGTTGCTCAGTCTATCTCAGGAGCCCGTCTCGCTTCACCTCCCCACCCACCATCCTTGATTCTCTTCCTTCCCCATGCCCAACCTCCCCCCCACCCCCCAAGTGCATTCCAGCATGACAAACCACATGGGATTTCACTAGTCCTTTAAAGTCTGCTGCCTCTGGGAACCACTCTTCTTCATGCAACATTTTAGTATTCTAGGGAATACGTGACTGGGGAGGCAACCACTGCTGTTATATTTCTCTTGTCTCCTCCTGGTTGTTATTTCTGTTGATACTTTACAGGAGGAAAAGAAAGAGGAAAATGTTTTTTATCAGCTGATCACTGATTTATCTTTTTTTTTTTTTTTACATTGCTGGATTTATTTTTCTCTTCATCTTTGCTGATTCCTCAACATCAAACATTTTCTGTGAAGATGTCTTTTACTCAAGTCATTTTTTATTTTAACACATAAAAGCATCACAACAACAATATACAAATTCTTAGTAATCTTTAAAACCAAAACACATTTACACATGCAACAATAGGGTTTAAGACAATGAGTAACTTATAGAATAATTTTTGTTTTTGGAATGTGTTAATGTTACTTTGCAGGAGAAAGGACCATTTATACCTTAGCTCCAGAACAATATCTGATATGTCAAATATGTAGTGTACTTTAATCATTTGAATGTTTTCATCATTTCTCACGTCCTTTTTGACAGTTAACAATCTTTTAGAGATCAAAACTCAAAGAAGAAAAAAAGGCTTTATGACTTACATTTAGTTAAAAACATGTACTTGGATCATCTTTGAGAATTCCAGACTGCAGTCTGAGTCATACTGTAAACGTCTGGTGCTGCCACAATCAAATGATGTCCAATTAGATTTTAAAGAAGAGTGACTCACCGCACAGGACAATGTGCCCTGTTCTGCAGTAAGTCCACTCAAATGAGGAAACATGTCAACAAGTCCATCACAGAAGCTCTGCTGCCACCGTTCTCTTCATCGCTCTTATCGAGATACATCATACTGCCAACGTGGCATTTCAAAGTATATCTTTAAGATGAAGTAAAGGACAAAACAAAAGGATAATTCAGTTTGGCAAACTAACCGAAGAGTCAACAGAAATGAATGGTTGAAGAATAACTAACAGAACAGGTTATTGCTCCAGAGTAAAGTGTGTATTGTTATGTCGATGTTGTGGCCTCTTCTGTTTGACGGATTCAGTGTGCTCATATGATTGTCTGAGTCCTTTACATAGGATTGGCTGTAAACCTACAGCCACAACACTGAAAACACATTCATAGACACCAAAAATATACATTATGATACTGTCAAAAGGTACAATAATTACACAGAAAAGGAAATTACAGAGTTAAAACAACACCATTAGGTTTTCATTTATCTTTTTGCTTGTCCACTTTCTCTTCTCTCATCCTCTCCAAATGTGTTGGCTGCGCTGGGCTCTGTGAACACATCAAGCGCTCCTGGCAGAGAGTCAAGAGTCCCACCTGCCCTCCTGCCACTGGACTCTGCAACCCCAGCTCACCTTTCTAAAAGAACCACCGGAAAGCTTCGCCGTTGTTGACCGGCGTCCTCTGTGGGAGACAAAATGTGAAAGATAAGTTTTAATTTGCAAGTTCTGAGGTCATGTCACTGTCACATCTAGGACCACTTTGTAAGAGCACTTTGAAATAACGTGGGCATTAAGTAAAGTAAAAACCCAGGAGGGCACTTAAAATGGCTATAAAACACAACTACCAAACCAAGTATTTCATCAAAGAGTCAGCCAAGGTGATTACACTCACGTCCAACCCACACCCAAATAATCATTACGCTGGATGAAATATTCAATACAAATTCCCAAGAAGCAACAATGAGGCATTTAATTACTGTGAGCTCCAGCCGCAGTGAGGGGGAACAGTGCATCATTTCAATTTGAGCCCGCGCCAGCAGCCGCCCCTCCTCCTTCTCCCCAAAACCTCTACGCCAGAGTGGCAGCCTCTGCTTTCCGAAACTCATTTGGAAATCAGAGACATAAAATACTGAAGTCTCCCACCAATCCCCATGACCAATTAGCACATTTTTTGATTTTTTTTTTTTTAATGTTGACAGGGGGAAATGGTGCATAATCACAACTAAAATCACTTTAGTCTGAGTGGAGGGCAATTTGACATTTTAATACCAAGTGTCATCTGTGGCTCCTTAAAGGCATACTGATGAGTACTTTAGCATCAGACAGGCTCTTACATTCAAACCTTTCTCTAACCTTTTGCAAAGGTTAGAGAAAGATTGTAGTTAAATGTGAATAAACACTGTCTGAAGCAACTGTGAACATTTTCCATATTAAACAGAACTACAATCTCCCCCTAACCTTAACCAAGTAGTGTGAGTGCCTAAACATAACCATAAAAAAAGTTTAATAATGCTCTAGACACTACAGGTGGATTCAGTAGTGCAGGTTTGGATATTTTGGCAGCCAACAAATATGTTTTGTACAAATATTTCCCTCTTAGAAAAATAATCTGGTTGCAGTTACCCTTTCTTCAACATGTATTTGTTCCTTCATTCTAGTTGTACTCTATATCAATGCAATTTCTATTACACAAGATTACAGGACTGGTGCCATCATAGGTATATAATTTAGGCTTTAGATAACTGATTTTATTTAGTTTATGTAGATCGGTGAAATAATCGACACTTCTTCACTAAACCTAGTTGGCACATTAACTAAACAAAACAATCAATTAATTAGAAGAAAGATACTATGAATTAATGAAAAAAATGGGTCTTCATTTGCCTCATTTATCAGCTGTGTTTAAACCGATTACCTCCAAGAAAGCATAACAAATCATCCCTGAGCCCCTACTCGCATTGATTGTAAGGTTAATAATCACTAGTGCTCAGTATCTGGGTATAAAAAATAGCTGTAGCCCTTATAAAACTTGATGTTTTAGAGTCATAGCCCACCCTAAGTCTGTGACTGTCAGCTGTGCAGTGATAGGTACTAACTCACACTGGATGCATACAGTAGCCTACATTCCTTCATATGTGTGTAGAAACCATTTACTGGTTTTCACACCACATTAAGCAATTACTATTATCCTGTGAATAATGAAGGGGCCCAGACCAGCAGGATACCATCAGCACCAATTTAAAGTCATGGATGAAATGAAACACACCATCATATCTTGAAGGGCCAAGACTCACAAATCTCCTGTTTTCTGAGCTTCCTTGTTATGTCACTGTAACTCTATTAATTATGTTTTATCATTGACTCAACAGTGCCAGGTCAGATTTAAACGTACTGTGGCTACACCAGAAAATACTGGAGACAAACATTTGCTCTTTTCAGAAATTCCAGTAGGTTTGTTATGATATGTAAAAATACACGTGTCAAACTTTTAATATGTGCTGTAGAATAAAAGGTGTGATCCATCTTCAAGTCCCCAGAATAAAAACCACATAAACTTGTCCCTCAAATATACAGTACATGATGTATGTATGTATGTATGTATGACCTTCCTCTGGAAACCACTTCAAAGTTCTTTGTTTGGCAGTTTTCCATATTTTTCACCACTTAAAGCTTTTGGTATTCAGGACTATTCCAACATAAATCAGCCATCGATTACATTTTCCAGCGTAAACGTCTGATTTTATTCCAAGAATTATGTCATATAAGAGTGATCAACCTGGTACTAATTGCAATTTTGAAACACGTGGATGTAATACTGAGCATTTGCTAATGACCCACTGGCAATAAACAAGAAAATATTTCTAATTCAGAATTAAAGCACAGGAAAGACACCACAATGAGCGTGCATACTTGCTGTGGATATGACACCACCGCAGGGGCACTTTCTGCCTTAAGCCCTGCTCTCTCGGTCTAGAACGTGACGCTCTAAGAGGCGAACAGGAGGGAAAGGTGAAGTGAGAATGTTTATCTTGATCCATATTCTCACATTGATCAGTCCCTGGTGGAAGTGCGGCACGCCAGAGACAATAATGACCCTGATCTGGGCACTCAGCATGTCTCTGTTTTGTTAAGTTCCCACATTATTGATCCAGTGGGACCTCTTGAGTGCTGCTTGGATTCACTCCCAGGTCTTCTTGCCTCAGCACACTGCAGTGACCAGGCACAAAGAAGTCTCGATTAGAGCAGCTCCACATTGCCTGCTCCCCCACCTACGTGTGCCTTCAAAATCACTCCATCAACCACCAGGGAGAGTGAGAGAGAAAAGACACAAGAATACAGAAACAACACAGAGAGGGGGATCGACATAGAGGGATAATAGAAGGAGAAAAAACAGAAGAGAGAAAGGTCGGGAGAAGGTAAGGGTTGATAGTGTTACACCAAGGACACGGGAGCAACACCAAGGTTTCACCTCAAATCAAGACACTGTGGCAGCAGCTCAGCCTCACGTCAACATCACTGCCTCTGCAGCAGAGCATACATAACAACCTGGCTTCAACGACACACAGAGGGAAAGACAATTTCCTGCTCTGGCAATGAATGCACACGAGCGAGTATTGAGCTGACTGAAGGAGGAGGAAGAGATTTCTCCAGACCTTAAATTAACCCCACCACACCGCCACAGTAGGCAGTGCAATCTAAGTGTTTGCCGGTGGCTTTCGGTGATAACAGCACAGTAAAACTGACATGTGGTGGAAAAATTCTCTGCTGATTGTGGCGAGGCAGTGTGAGGTCTCTGGGCAGCCATGACATCCTGTGATCCTAACTGAACCAGGCAGGTGCAGTTAGTGGTGAAGCCGTGTCGCTGACTGATTGAGACGAGGCGGTTAAAAAACGGCACTAGTACAGGATGGTGAAAAATGTAATTAAACCAAAAGGACTAAAGCCGAGTCACAGAACCCAGCTCTAACCTCGATAAGGGGCACGTGCATACAACATAAACCTTCAACCTTCTTAAATATCCCAGTTAAGTCAATTCCTTCCGTTCATTTCCACATAAATAATAACACATGAACAGTCCTCAAGCCCCAGCCCACCCCTGCCCTGCCCCTCCTCTCTCCTGCAGCCTTGGCATCACACTGAGCTGGGGCCAGAGATAAACCACTCAAGACGATGAGGATGATAATGGCAGATGCTGCAGCGCCTCAAAATTCAATCAGCGCTGGGACGTCAATGTGGATGAGTGTAAAAGTGAAATATGCTTGCCTGCGTGTGTTAAAAGACGCCACACAGGGCTCGCAGAAACAATAACAGGCGATGAAGAGGACGATGAAGAAAAAAGAGAGTAAGAGAGAGAAAAACACAAGGAAAATGAAAATAATGTTTTTCTACTACTCTGTTTCCCAGCTCAATCCCACTGGCATTTTGAGCAGCCCTACTTTAACCACAGACTGTGAATAAATTACCCTTTTGAACTCGGGGTGATTGCAAATGTGCCCCGGTTTCTCCTGAGACATGTCTGGCACTAACCCTCAGCTCTATGCTCCCAGCCAGCCTTGTCACAGAGGCGCCCCTCCTTCTGTAACACACACTCAAGGCACACACAAGCCTGCACAATATAATAAAACTTTTAATTCATCAAAATTACTGGTGGAATTTTTTTTTTCTTGCACCAAACTACAACCTCTCCTCCTCTCCTTTCTGTCTAGGAATTCTCAAGAATCTCCTCTGACTCTGAGATTTTAAAAAATGGGTTCGAAATGAGGAAGTATCCTGGAAAATATGTGTAGTGGCAGAGAAATCAGAGTAGAGATGGAAGGGATAGACACAGAGCAGGGACAGATATAAGGGAAAGGGGAATCTCATGGAGAGATAGTAGCACTGAGCAGGCTGAACAGTAGTCTGTGGGAGTGTGCCGATATGTTTCTGAATGCTCATTATAACACATGGCCCATACATTACCCTGGCAATATCCATTATTTATTAACCTACAGACCAGGAACCAGGCCTTGTTTCATAACTGCAATCCTATGATGTTGCTCTGACAGGTTGCAAATATAAATAAATGCCATCACACCTTCACTCTTGACACACACATACAGTTCAAACTCCAAATGATACTTAAACATAATTACAAACACTTTGCACACAGCAACATGACTGCAAGTGAAATCTGAGTGCAAACCCAGGTCACCCAGTTCGTTTTCTTTTTGGCGTGAATGTCTCGCAACATGCAAGGAAATGAATTAGATTATCTTCTAAGGCAAACTGGTGGTGAGGCAGACAAAACTAGGAAAAGACTGGAAAAAGAAGTAAGGAAAGAGCATTTCATCAGAGTCAAGGAAGGATGGCTTTGTGAGCCAGACAAACATTCAGGACCGATTTCCAGGTCTAAGAACGAGGGGGGGAAAAGTTTCAGCAGCGCAGTCGGCCTTAACTGATGTGTTATATATTGCCTGTCACTTTATTCTGTAGGAATATTGGGGCGTTGCCAAGCTCCCAACTGGAAGGTATAGCAATCCATCATCTGTACCGTTACCAGCAACGGTGGGTGGGGGGGGTGAAATCTCATCTGGAAGATTGTAGCCAATAGTGTAGCCACCCAATGCCATTTATAAAGGCACTGTACCTCTCCAAGGCCACTATCATGGACAGACCGCTCAGCTAGTGATCCACACACCGCTG